CTTACTTGCATCAAATAGTGGACTGATTTGTAGTAGTAACTTGAGAATGTTAAACTTTCTCTTAAGGATCTGAGCACAGTCCTGCAACAAGCAGTTAATGGACTGAGCTTTCCCAGCACAAAAGACACAATATCCCCTTTGAACAAAACTGACCCTAGCACAATGGTATGGATGGCAGAAGTACACAGACTCACTAATGTCCTTGGATAATTGGTTGCCACCTTCCAATGTCTTCCAGACACTTTTCCAGTGATGCCAGGCTAGACCCATCCAGACAGCAAATCTCTCAGTCAGCTCCAGCAATTTTCAGCAGAAATAGGCCCCAGCAGACACATGGCAGGCCTGACCATGGGGCAAACAGCTCCAAACACCCCCCCCCTTTGGACCTGGAACAGGCACTTCTGTTCTAGGTCCAAGCTTTAACCCAAATGAGAGGTAGGACTGATTGCAGCTATAATCACTAGCCAGATTGCTATAAAAAACATCTGACAAAGGTTGAAATATAGTGCTAAAAAAAAGTGACAAAGTGCTCAGTGCATGTAAACTTCTTCATAAAAGGTGCTCCAGTTCTCAAAAATGTGCTTCTTAAAGAGTGAAGAGGCCTCTTACCAAATGGAGATGGTTTCAAGTTATAGAGACCTAAAGTGCTCGAGTCAAATCTTCAGGCTGGCACTCTCACTGTCAGACCATCAGCTTAACCACATCGATGGAGCGTATGGATGAACCCAAAGACAGCCTTTAATATGATTAAATAATAATTAGAGTTGATGCATCCACTAATAAGTGATCCCACTCCCCCCCCAAAATATGATACAATGTTGTGTTGCGCTACTCAATAAAACATCTCAAATAAGTGCATAAATTCAATAATAGTAAAATAATCAAATAATCAATGTGTCCATGAAAAAGTTCATATCCATATGTGTACGTGATCCAAACATTTACTGTAATTCTATGCTTCACCCGAGAAATAAACTTCAGTGATCCAGAATCAATCGTGTGATAAACACCACCACCACCACATGTAAGGATGGCCGCTCACCTGGACACCAGGACCTATATAACTAAATACAGGTCACAAGTGCTTGGTTGCATTTCCATAAATGGACTCTAAATGGCGGCAGCTGGTCACACTGTACATCTTCTCCATCAGCAGTATAACCTCTGCTCCAATAATGGCACCTCCACTTCCTCTCCTCCACTCCGGGACTCACATGGAAGGAAAAACAAATTGCCTCCAATAGTGTAATACTGTTTATTAGATTAAAAGCAGAATAGCAAAAAAAAACACTCACATTAACACTGGATGTAAAACGCAATATATGAGAACCGGACTTCCGGTCCGCGGCTCAGTGCCGGAAATTACGTCACTAGGCTCGCATTACGCCACCAACCCACGTGGCTTTGTCAAGGAAAAAGTTTTCCTTGACAAAGCCACGTGGGTTAGTGGTGTATTAATATGTAAAAGAGTGGGAGAGGAACAAGAGAAAGAAAGCCTAAGCAGATTGAGATTCAGCTTTAGGCTGCTTTCACACTCTCACAAAAAAAATGGATTCGTGGATGCATGTTTTATGCGTTTTTCATTTCAATGGGGAGGTATGTTTTTGGTGCAGATTTTTAATGCACCGAAGATGCAGCAAGCAGGACCTTGAAAAACGCAACAGACCCACAACTGACTAGTGTGAAGCGTTTCATAGGATTTAATAGTCATGCACTCTTCTACGGCTTTTTTAAACACAAAGACGGAAGAAAAACGGATCAGTGTGAAAGCATCCTAAATCAAGACAAAGAAGTTTTTGCCATTATAGACATAGCTGTGCCAAGGAGTATTGTAGATAAAAAATGGGTAAAATTTTAAAAGTTTCCAATCCCCTTATGCCAAGGTTTTACTCACTGCCTATTGTTCATAAATCTAGTGGTGGCCATACATGCTCTACCAAGCAAAACTCACCACAAAAAGCAATACACCAAAGACAACATCCAACACTGCTTACCTCCACATCCTGTACATCCCCTCATTTACCATCACTCACATCTCTGCCCCTCATCCACCACCACTCTACACCCAGTACGCTCCTTGTTTAATACCACTACCATTTTCTCTGCTACTACCATTTACCTCTGAACACCCTCCAGTACGACCACTCATCTTTTAGACCCCTATTTTAGCACCACTCATTTTTGCATCCTCTCTTCTACTACCACTCACCTCCTGCATTTCCTCTCATATCACTGCTCTCCTTTGTGCCCCCTCTTCTACCACTGCTTATTTCAGCATCCCTTGTCCACCCCTGCTCTCCTTTTGGACCCCTATTCTACCACCACTCACCTCTGTGCCATCTCTTCTTTTACCGCTCAGCCACTGCATCTCCTCTCATATCACTGCTCTCTTTTGTGCCCTCGCCTCTTCCACTGCTTACTTCAGCTTCCCTTGTCCACCCCTGCTCATCTTTGCACCCCCCATCCACCACTGCGTACCTCTCCAGCTCCTCTGCCTCTTTCCACTCCTATCTGCACCTCCACTTTTACCACTGCTTACCTTTACAGCCCTACCTTTACCACAGTTTATTCTGCATCCCCTCTTCTACTACTGCTCACTTTTGTGCCACTTATTACCACTGCTCATCATTGTGTCCCTTCTCCTGCCACCACGCACCTTTGTACCACTCATCATTTGCTCCACCTCTGTGCCTCCTCTTCTCCCTCTGCACCCCCTCTTATACCTCTGCACCTCCTCTTCTCCCTTCACTCAACCATGCACCCCCTCTTATACTTCTGCACCTCATCTTCTACCTCTGCTCTGCTCTGCACCCCTTCTTATACCTCTGCCCCCCTTCTATACTTTTGATCACCTCTTCTCCTCCTCCTGTACAATCACACATCTCTGCACACCCTCTTATATGTCTGCATCATCTCTTATAACTCTGCACCCTTCTCCTATACCTCTACCCACTTCACAGCAAAGGACAGTGGTGCCAAACGACAGGGATAGAGGCAGGGCCAGTGCTTCCACTAGGCAAACTAGGTGGCTGCTTAGGGCTCACTGCTACCTAGGGGTGCCTAGTGGAAGCACCTAGGGGAGCAGCACAGGCTGTCACTCTCTCTGTGTGGGATGCCGCCATATCATGAATGATCCTTTAGCTGAGAGGAGGGGTGGCAGAGAGGAGGAAGAAAGGACATAGAAAGATGCTGGGTGGCTGGGGCCAGTGTAGCAGCTGAGCTGCAACTCCTTCCATTGTTCCTCTCAGACTCAGTCCCTTACTGCAAGCCAGCTGGCAGCTGCTGTTCACAGTGGAGTTACATAGTTAGTCTGGCTGAAAAAAGACAAAAGTTCATCCAGCTCCACCGTAGAAAAAAAAATAATTATAATCCTATACCCACAGTTAATCCAGAGGAAGGCAAAAAAAAAAACCCGAGCAAAGCATGATCCAATTTGCAGCCATCAATCACATGTGCAATGTGTCAGTGAGTGATGATCATCGAGATCCCACAGCCTGCTCTTCTAGTGCCTGCTGGGCCTGCTGATTTGTGTCGGATATGTCACTGTGTGGAATCGCTCAATTCAGCTGCCTGCTGTCACAGAATTTCATCTCTCCTCATTGCCTGGGGAATTCTAGCCTGGGATCTGTCAGAATATGGATCCATCATCCTCCACTCACTGCAGTTGTCGCCCTGCCACTGCCAGCGACAGATACAGTCCATCTGTGAAACTGATTTTGTCTTTAATATTGGTGCTGGTTGTATCTTATTGCACTTATTTCTGCAAATTAAAAGAAATTTAGCAGTTTCATGTTTTAATATTTTTTCTACTGTTTTAAAATGTTTTATTTAGTTTTTGTTTTGTTTGGGGGGGCGCAAGTAGCTCGTCTTGCCTAGGGCACAAAATAGTGTAGCACTGGCCCTGGATAGAGGTGGCTACGTCAAGGAAAATTGCAGAGATAACAGACCTGCCAACAATTAGTATGGTGAAGAGGGAAATGCACCCCAGCCATCTGTACATTGCGGTACAAATTAAAGTGGATTAATAAAAAGTGTCTGATACAAGTTCTTTCTCAAGCGGTGACCTGCCCATACAAACAAATCAGCTTCTATTTTATTTTTTCAACATAGCTTAGAAAATGAATGTTTAAAAGCTGAATAGCTGAGCTCTAGCTGAGGCAAAAGTTGTCTCAAACACCTTTTATACATTTCCCCCATTGTGTCTGGAAGTGCAAGGAAATGGAAACATTGCAAGATTTGCAGACTTTGGTGCACAGTGCATATGCCAAGCCTGTGCAACATCAGGAGCCTGGGGAAAGGTTTGGGTGTCCATCAGGGCATAGGAGCCTGCTGGAGATCTGGTCAAACTCCCTGGAGACCATACTAAAATAGTAAGTGATTTTGGAGTTTAGTATGTGACTTCATATGTCAGGTAACATCACCATTCTCCTGGGTCACTGAAAAAAGTCAGTGTCAGCCGAGAAGGGAAGGAGACACAAACAGCTTCTTCTATATTAAATCAACTGCATTATCTACAAGTAGCTGATGTGTCAACTGAAATTAGCTTTTTAAGCTCTATGTGTAAATTATAATTTGTTTCTAACCTTTTTCCCTGTGTTTACTATCAGAAAGACAGTAGCGATAGAGAGCAGAGATTACCACCTGTACCTGTTTTATTTGTTTTTTTACTATAACCATACCATAACATCCTGCCTGGAGTTTGCATGTTCTCCCTGTGCCTGCGTGGGTTTCCTCCGGGTACTCCGGTTTCCTCCCACACTCCAAAGACATGCTGGTAGGTGACTTGGCTCCTGTCTAAATTAGCCCTAGTATGTGTATGTATGAATGTGAGTTAGGGACTGTAGATTGTACGCCCCTTGAGGGTTAGAGACTAATGTGAATGTACAATATATATGTAAAGTGCTGCGTAAAATTGACGGCGCTATATCAGTACCTGAAATAAATAAAAAAAATAAATGTGTTGAAATATTCCTAATTAATTGGAGTTTGTCTTCTTCTAGGTTATGTTGCAAAAGAAACCACCATATACTTTCAGAAGAAAATCCAGAAGAAATAAAAAAATGGCATGATTTTAATGAGTTCACAATTATAGTGTGTCTGCTGTTCCTTCCTCTTAGTAAACAGGATATTTCTACATGTATTATACATAACTGGAAAAAAGGCTAAACTACAGCATAAACCTTGCTCAGGTCATCAATTCTACAATCAGTCCAAACTGAGAGAAGTGGTGTCTGTTCTCGCATATCTTCCTTGTATATCAGTACAATTCTATTGGCAGATATATCTATGTACTCAGTATATTGTGCCTTGAGTACGGTCAGCTGGAAACAGCACATCAACATTATGACGAGGATTTGGAACCTGAAGCCTCCTACGTAATACAGAGTACAAGATGATGACATGATATATTTTCAAATTTAGGGTGCAAGAAAACTGACATATCAGAAGTGTTGGGAGCTGAGACTGAATTTTTTAATCAAGAGCCTTTTTATTTTTCTAAACTGTTTTATTAATGTTTTGATTATTTTTGTAAACAGTCTTTGTTACTGAACCATATTATAGTGACATTCAGATCTTTTGTACATGTGCCCCTATAAACCTTAGCGCTTATACTCATATGCAATTCCAGCAATTACGTTTTCTTCTCTTAGTTTCAGAGTGGTGGAAGGTTAAAACCTTGAAACCAGATTGATATAAAATATGATTTAGTAGTGTAGGTAAGGGTTAGAACCCCTGTAAAATTTTTACTACCATCCATCATTAAGGAGATTTTCCTCTACTGCTTGTCATGTCACTGTGAATAACAATAAAGGGAATCTTCCTAATGGGGACACAGCTATCTTTAAGGCCTACACCACTAAATGTGTTTTATTTTCATCTGTGTTTCCTGTTGAAGTGATTTGTGTTTACCTTCTGTCAGGGAGTAACTGATTGAAAATTAGCTCTAAGCAGTGGTAGATATATCAGCTGTGCAGCTACACAGAGGCTTTCCACTACAGGAAGGGGCTCCCCTGGCCTATAATAGGCCCCAAAATCTTAGTGACCAGAAGACGGCCAAGGTACTTTCAGGAAATAAAAGTATCCTGGTCAGGTTCCTGGTTTGTTGGCAGTACCTGATGATACCTCAGAATTCTGGCACAAAGGGTGAAGGTTTCAAGAAGAGTAACCACTGCCCACCAATGAATAAGGGGTCCTTGAGCCACTCTCCAATATAATGGCTTTCCCCCAGTGAACACCAATGATTGATTGCACTTCACTAAATACCAATGTTTTAGAGCCCCTCTATCTTTTTACTTCAATGTATTGAAGGCATATATGGCAAACTGGAAATTTTGACCTCCAATGTACCAGGTGAATTTACACTAAATTGACTACTAGTTTAACTGCTACAAATGTTATGGGGCATTTACATGCCACCTATGTAACAGATGCAACTACACTGACCACCAATGTAATGGGGGGGGGGGGGCGGTTACAATGACCACCCATGTGATGATGGAACAGGAATTTGCTTTTCACATAATTGGATGATTGAAGTGAATATTCCCTTTTCAATTCCTTTAGTACACCAACCTATGTTTTATGCACACTGGTGGTTAAGTCCCTGTCCATCAAATCCCGGTGTTTTTGTGTGCCTGGGGGGCACAATGGCAGCATCTGGCCCTGCAGCCTGTCAAAGTCCATGACAGGCTAATGTACTCTGCAGCTGGAGGCTGTACTAAGTGGTACTCACATTTAGGGCCTTGTGCATATGTTCTAGGCATGCGCTCCTTAGTACATAGTGTTCATAACTCTAAATACCACTCAGTACAGCATCTAGCTATGTCAAGCCTCAGCGTATTTTTACATGTCATAGACTTTAACAGGCTGCAGGGCTGAACGCTGCACCTTTGCTTCCCAGTCTCATGACAATTCAGGGAGTTAATACACAGGGGCTAAACTCCAACTGTGCAAGAGACCTAATAGTTTTGTTGTAGTCTATATTCTTTCTGGGTGAAATACCATGCAGTTGCTGCATATTTTGCTATTACAGTTCAATTTACATAATTTGCTGTAATGGCATGATATAGTATAATGTGGTGTTGTAGTGCAACGCGGTATGATTATGTGACCATGACATATTAGGGTTAATTCAATAAGATAGATGAGTTATTTTAACCCCATTTGCTGTTATTTGCATGATAAGTTTATCAGTGACTAGTGAAATCTGTCAGCCATGCACATCAGTTACTTACCTAATGAAATATACACACAATTGTACTTAGGATGCAATGGTAAGATCCAGAGGCTCTCCTCCAATAAAGCCAAACTAGCTAACATTCATTTTTCATTTTTACATGGGGAAGATTAAAATTTAGTAGAACTTAAATCATACTACAAATTCTGTCTGTTTACCCTTTGGGGAGACTTCCTCCAGTTTTCTGTTCCTTTAGGCCCCCATCAAATAGACACAAATTGAGGGAAAATATCCCAAGTAAAGACAAAGCAATATCAGCTCAGAGGTTCTATTCTTTCCCAATGCCATCTAAAGCTATGGGACTTGTTCTTCAGCTCTGAGTATGATCTTTGAGGCAAATCAGCAACACACAACTGCAAATAATTAAACAAATAATCTTCAAATGACCTCAAGTCACATATTCTTCAACTATTGTGGAGGTTGTTATATAATGTAAAGTACCGTATTTTTCACTCCATAAGATGCACTTTTTTTCTCCCAAAAAAATGGAGGAAGATGTCTGTGTGTCTTATGGAGCGGCTGGCCCGGTATAACCCCCGCCGCCTCTGCCATGTTAGAACACCGAGCCGGCCGCTCAGCTCCACTGTGCAGAAGAACTTGCTCCTCGGTCCTACCTGTTCCTTGGTTCAGCGGTGTCCTCGGTCCACCAGCCGTCTTCTCTCCCTGGTGCTGGCATCTTCAGTGTGGGCACCCAGCTGTGACAGCTTGCGGCTTCACAGCCGGGTGACCACTGCACATGCGAGAGAAGCGCTGCACTTTGTGAATGGCCCCGTAGTCCTCTGGGACCTGTCACGTGTCCCACAAGACTACGGGGAGGAAGGGGGGAGGACAACTCCGCGGATGTGGGAGCAGGTACCTGTCAAATTCGGGTACCTGTCCTTCACCTGCTCACAAAGGTCTGCAGTCTCTGGTCATCTCCTGTACTGTGTCCGCAGTCTCTGGTCATCTCCTGTACTGTGTCCGCAGTCTCTGGTCATCTCCTGTAGTGTGTCCGCAGTCTCTTGTCATCTCCTGTACTGTGTCCGCAGTCTCTGGTCATCTCCTGTATTATGTCCGCAGTCTCTGGTCATCTCCTGTACTGTGTCTGCAGTCTCTCGTCATCTCCTGTACTATGTCCGCTGTCTCTGCTCATTTCCTGTACTATGTCCGCAGTCTCTGGTCATCTCCTGTACTATGTCCGCAGTCTCTGGTCATCTCCTGTACTATGGCTGCAGTCTCTCGTCATCTCCTGTACTATGTCCGCTGTCTCTGCTCATTTCCTGTACTATGTCCGCAGTCTCTGGTCATTTCCTGTACTATGTCCGCAGTCTCTGGTCATCTCCTGTACAAAGTCTGCAGTCTCTGGTCATCTCCTGTACTATGTCTGCAGTCTCTGGTTATCTCTAGAGATGAGCGAATCGAACCAGGCGAACCGGAATTCGATACGAATTTCAGGAAAAATTCGATTCGCGTCGAATCCGAATATTTGCTTACTTCGGGTGCGCGAATCGGATTTTTCCCGATCAGCCGGCAAAAGTGTCCCTGCAGAGAGCTCCGCTATTTCTGACAGAAGGAACACATGTACAGCGGTTGAAACATTGTATCTATTTGTTTCCATTTAGGATACAGATGTTTTTATTCGGAAACAGATGTTTCAACCGC